ATACGGGCCGGTATATGGGGCTGGTGCTGCGCTATAGGGCAGCAGCTCCGGGACGGGGCCAGCCGTGGTTGCTGCGTGCCACAAGGGAGAAGCGGTTACACTGAGTAGTGATTTACCACAGGGAACACAGAACCCATGGAAACGTGTGGAGCGTCTCTAATTTTAATTCTTATTATCTTCAGAACTCCTGCTAGTAATTATTGTCGTTAATACACGTTACAGTGGTTAGCTATGTATATACACACACTATATTTCTGGAGATTTCTGGTGATGTTTGCAGTACGTCGGTGTCAGTCTCCATAATCCTGTGAAGTGTAGAGGTGCTGTATACCAGGTACAGTTCAGCCAGTAGTTTGTAATCGCTGTAATTAAATACTCAACAAAGAACATATTTATCACGTTAACTCCCACTAGGAAAAGGTTTCCCCAAAAAATTGTTTTGCTAATAACGTAAGAATATACCAAAACACCAATCACACAGATGTTTATAGCAACAGTTTAAAACAAGGGAATTCACGTACTGAAGCACACAAAGAGTATAATACCACTGCTGTGTAAAATGTACAAGTGCTGTTTAATGGCCTGAACAGATACAAAGCACAATATAAAACTATCCTTTACCCAACTGCAGCTCATGGCCAACCATACACTGTTTAAAGGAAGAGTGGATTATTTTATAAATAACCTTTTGATAGCATTTTGAGAATTTTTAAAAAAGTACTGACACTCTGTGTTTTGCTACTATAAATATAACACTAGTATGTTGTGTTTCGGTCCCTGGTTTTGCAGAACCAGTACAGTTTGTTCGCAATTAAGCCAAGATGTGTAGGGATATATTTGCAGTCCCCCAAAAGATGACAACAGCGTGACACATACAGCTTTGAATGAAAGTAGGCAGCTGTGTATACAAGTTCTGTCCTAAGACACTACGAGCTGCAAGGAGAACTGCAGGGTTTTTTATAGCATACATAAATGGAGCTAAGGAAATCGGTTATTTTAAATTGCCTCAGGACAACAACATGCCATATTTTATGTAATCTCATCTGCGCTTTAGAAAATCATAAAAGCATGAAGAGTTGTGTTTTTATAGCATAGCATGTAGAAAGGTGACTAAGCCTTCACTAGCCTCAAAGCAGCACCACACTGACAATGGTCCCTGTCTCTGGGTGAGGAAGAGTCACTCATTCAGTTTTAACTGCAGAAGTGGTGGAATGATATTGTTCAGAGAACCACTGTTCTCCTTGTTTTCTTTGAACGTACGATTTTACAAACACAGCAGTCAGTCTTGCAGATGGGGAGGATGCTGAGCAGAGAGCCCCAGCACAGAAGATGACCATCTCCTCCTCTGCTGTTACAACATGGCTGCCGATTCCTTCACTCAGGGCTTTCTATAGGACCCTTCAAATGTGCAGAAGATGAGAGCAGGACAAGCCAACTCCAATATGTTGTCTGCAACTGATAAAGACTACTTTGTTTCTCAAAACCCAAAGGGATTTTTTTTCCCAGAGGATGAGGGAAAACTTCTTACATCAGTTGTTTCCAATTTTTTTGGGGGGGAGCATCTCTAAAATAGTAATGAATAAATGGATGATATGGAACAATTATTCTGGAGTAATGCTAGTGAGTATATGTCACAGTAAGATTTAATAGCTGAAATATACTGACACAGAAAATTAAAGTCAAATATTGAATATATTAATACGCAAAGTTTTGTTTGAAATTAAACTATTTTTGTTGTGCCTCACATTCAAATATATGCCTTACAAATATCCATAGCCTCTGTTATAAATTAAACAACTTCTAAACAATACTTGTCAACATTCAAATCTCAATAAACTTTGGCAGCTCTTTGGTAAATACTTATAAATATCAATTAACAAAACAGTAAAAATGGAATGGGGAGGCTACCAGCAAGGAGCCTCTTTCTTAGAAATTCCACAAAGAGGAACAGAAACGGGAGGGCTCCCTAAGCAAAAACTATTTTCAAGATTGCTATATTTTAATGAGATTAGTAGCTCATCCCTCTTTTCTCTGTCTATTCAAATACTATTATATTGGGATTTTAATACATTTCAGACAATGTTTTGTGCTCTACCATATATACATATTCAAAATTTATACATAAACAATAGTGGCTGTTTACGAGCAGAGTTACGCTTCAGTGCATTTGACATAATTATTGCACACAGAATAATCTCAAATGCCCAATTATTCTACTGGATAAACGTAGCAACAAATATAACCTCTTATATATTTGAACATCTATCTTTCTGTAAAATCTTGTGTTGGTGACACCTTAGGTGCCAAGGAAGTGAAAGGATCTGCGGGGGATCTGTTGCTGGTTACTCTTGATGGTATGGGAGGTGCAGGTGGTCTTCTTGCTGGCATTGTATAGAAACAATCAGTCGAACTTTTATTCCAGTCATTATCAAAGTTAAAGTCTGAACCAAGAAAAGTATTTTGTTGAGTGCCCAGCAAATCTGGAGATCCAGCTGACTTCCTGGAACTGATTTGCTTAATATCTGGAACACTTCTAGATGGCTTTAGCTTTATGTTGAAATTATCATCATCATCATCAAATGTTACCCATCCTTTTGGCTGTACAGTTTTTACCATGACAGATTTACCTAGCAAGCAAAAAGTGTTTTCAGATGCATCCGCAGAAAATACTGGCTTGCTTGTATTACAACTGGGAGGATTTAGAGAAGGGAAAGGATTGCAAGTGGCACGTCCTTCTAGTAAATGTGAAGTTATTTCAGATTCTTGTGTTCCTGTTCTAAATGGATTTCCAGTATTAGGAGTTCTTTCAGTGAATGGATTTGTGCAGTTCAGTCCAGTAATAAATGGATTTGGAGAGCTGCGCTTATGTTCCTGTGATGTCTTAAAGGTTGGCATAGGAGGCATTGCTGGCATGCAATTTAAAGTATTCAAAATATCAGCATTTCTTTGTGTTGCTGAAGGCAACTGTATCAACTCCTTTTGGTTCAAAGTTGGAACAGGTGATGTTCGAACAGATGTCTGCATCTTTGACACAAGCAGCTTAAATGACAAATCTTCAAAAGGGTCACTGTTTAACTGTGTTTCAAGTTTAGTGCCGTATGCTCCATTTGTTTTAATCTGGAAAGAAAACAAGGTGTTTAGTAATCATGTGTATGTCTGTCTTGAGATTATTACTAACTCCCCATTTCTCACTCTTCTATGAGAAGAAAAGAAGCTCTTGGGCTTTAACAGAAACTACAATACAATTTTGTTGTAACTTGCACAATGCACTTGTAGTATAATGATTGCTTCTTTTCTGGAAAACAATAACCCATAACCCCTTCTCTGAAGAAAAGCCTACTAGTTGTTAAACACAATTTTCCCCTGTGTTGGTTGATGCAGCTTGAATCTACTTCATGCAAGTCAGAATCCTAGCCAAAAGCACCAGTGGACATTGCATAATAAAAAGTTTAAGAAACTTACGAAATTATATTATATTCTAAACAAGTGATAACTGAGCACAAATATGAAATAAAAAGCTCTAGGTTTCATTGTTTGAGAGTTTATAACACTGATGTTACAAGCAATACTTAAGCATCACAATGAAAGGAAAAATTAGTGTTATTAGTATATGCACTTCAAACATTCCTATGTAGACATATGCCTCTGTAGGCATCTCCAGTGCATCTTGACATGCGAAGGTACGATCATCAGTTTGTAGTATTTTAAAATGGCAAGTTATCATTGTTTAGAATAATACCAAATGGAGAAGAGAGTTTTCTCCAGAAAACTTCTCATCTTTTAAAACAAAATATTCCCATTTTTATAAATTTATTCAAACAACAATGCAACTTTAATACCTTGTAACAATTGTCCAAAATGGTACAATATCTACCTTTGTTCAAGTCACCACACTGACAGAACAGAGTTTGGAGCTTCCCCTTATTTAATGAATGCAAAGAATTAGGCTTAAGTTAACACAGCTTCTGAGAAGTCAAATTTCACAAACTTGTCGTTTTAACACATCACCTTAATATACCCAAATAGTTTGGATATTTAGCATGAAAATTCTGTTAACTAATATTTTGTTGAACTAGGATGCTAGCTAAAACTATCAACTAAAATACAATACTGTTACAGCCTAACTTTAATCTTTAAACATCTTGTTTTGACTGCATTTGTTGTGAACAGTTAGAAGCATGTCTCCACCTATCCTCTGCCTAGGCTGCTATGCAAAATTAGTTTACAGGCTTTAGAGACTCTTGGGAATAATAAAATATTGTACGTTTTCCCCAATATATCCAGCATAGCAATTTCTTTTAAAAAATTGCAGTTGCAGCTTGAATTGGTTGGCAGGAGAAAAGAAGTATGTTGGCAACAATGCATTTGCTCTGGTGGTGGTTCTTTTGAAACAACAGTATTGGTTACATGCATCCCTGGTACTGCTACATCAGAGAGCTTCTAAAATAGATGAGGCCTAATGTTACCAAACCATAGAGTAGTTCAGTATTGGGATTTTTGTATGTATGTAGTATGTGTTTCAGAAAGTAATGTTAAAACAAAGGCATCAAGTAACTGAGGGGAAAGTGTGAAAAATTGAACTGTAGAAATAATATAAATCAAATGCAGCTTGGCATCAGCTGGTTAAGTCCTCTGTTCTTAATTATGTGATCGAAAAGTACAAGACCCCAAATAAACTATTAAACCCAATTGCTCTTTATTTTAAGTAAAAAACTGCTCTGAATAATTCTGGAACCAAATACTTTAAAAATTGTAGCAGACAGTATATTTTACTTTGGGTAATAGGAAGTTCTCTGTTCTTTGAGATATGCAAAATATGGGGTTTATTTTGAAAAAGACTTTGGCACTGCAATTGCATCAGGATTTATTTGTATTAAAGAGAAATGTTAACTTCAACACCTACTCATTTTTTTCCAAATAGACTGAGACCAGGAGATTTGGCAGTGACTAAGCAACATACGTGAGGTTCCAGTTGTTTCATAAAAGATGAAGCAAAATACTTGTGATGGCACTAATAAATACAGTTAACAGTATCAATTTGAATTGCATTATGAAAGGAAAAAGCATACTATGGTATGACAGTCAATTCATTAATGTGGACAGGTGATTTTTTACATGGATGAAACCACAGATGTATGAAAACAAGATTCATACATCTTTTCTGCTTGAATAGATGGAGACCACATACAAGATTGGTAAATAGTCAGATACCTGTTACCCTGATGGTTGCTCCTGCTTGTGAAAGAGAAACAGACATCAAAGGAAAGAATATTAGGAAGAAAATCCAAGTAACAAAGCAACCTCAAGTTAAAAATACTTTTAAGTTTTCACAAAGCCATTTTTTGAGATATGAATACAAACAAAAAAAATGTATTACACACTATACTAGATTTTAAATTTCTGTTGTATTCTACTGTAAGACTTATAAGCTCTACCATTAAGAATCAAAAAAACCCAGCTCAAGCCAAATCTAACATTATTTCCACACAGACCTTCATAGTGGTATTTTATGAAGACTAATGATAAGAACTTGACTCTTGATTGTCTAACTCTAGCCATCCATTAACATGAAAAGCATTGTAGCCCTCATTCTGAAAACTGTGTTGGTATAATCACTCATCTATAGTAACAGTTTTTCAAGCTGAAAAAGAGGTAAGATTTCTCATTGAATAAACCCCTAAAATCTCCTTAATTTACAATACTCAATTTAAAATAAAACCCCCAAATCTCCTTAATTTACAATAAATAAAATCTATTTTACAATAACTATTTTTCTTTTTTAATGTACTACTTGATAATATAGAGTCCTAAATATTGACACCGTATGCAAGCAATTATTTTTATAAGGAGAGATTTAGGTTATTAAATATCACATTCAAATTTTGAATCAAAGTATGGGCTTGGAATCCACTACCTCTCAAAAGACTCTGTGTTTATTTAAAGATCTTTTCTCAGAAAACTTTATATTTACAAATGATGATCAAGAAAATAAACATTATTTAACAAAAAAAAAGAAAAAAAGAAAAAAAGAGAAGGAAAACCACCCCAAAACAAACCCCTAAGCCAGAGACAATAAATGAAGCTCAAAGTGGGCATTCCCTGTGATTGCACAGCCGGTGTTCATCAAAGAAATCTGATTGCAGAGAAAATTACAGCTCTCTGTGCTAGTCTTAAACTATCTGGTTTGGATATTGTTAGCAATATAGCCACAGCATTACACAGCTCAAACACCTGTTTACAGTGTTCTTAAGCCTAGTTTTGATTGCTGTGTGTACATACAGATAAATTTAATCTTCATAGTAGTTTTGAAAGAACTGCTTGCACCCCTTTCACAAAATAATTAATGGTAAAACTGTATTTAGAAGGTGTGAGGCTTTCAAAAATGATACAATGCAATCTGTTTCTATTCACAAAATTGTCACATTCTCAAATACCTTATGCATCCACATATATTCTCTGCTGGCAACACTTCATACTTTCCAACAAACTACAGAAAGTCCTAATATTCTACCTGTATATTAAAAAATATCCTCTGTTTTTTGGCCTAAGTTTCCAAAATGAAAAAAAAATTAACAGGCAGAGAGTGGTTCAGCATAAAGAAAGGAAGAGCTTTTAAAGATTTTTCAACTAGAATTCAAAATCAATTTGCTGAGGAATGAATTTGTCTGTACAAAATAGGCATTAACTAACTTCTTCAGTGAAAGTGGGCTTCAGATATAAAGTAAAATCTAAAATACTGATTAAAGCCTATGTAGTTGTAAATATCCATAGCTGAGTAGGTTTTTAAAATAAATAAAATAAAACAAACCCCCAAACATCTGAAAACAAAACCACAATTCTCCTTATGGGCAGAAGTGGGCATAAATCAATCTGCTTCAAAAAATTTGTGCTTTTATTCAAGTAGCATATTATCTGAGCTAGCACCTGGCACTGGAAAGCTAACAGCACTGGTCTTTAGTGAAGAAGCTTAGCCTTATGTATATATAAACAACGCCAAAAACCTACTTCTGAATTTTTTAAGCAGTAGTAAAAATATATGGCTTTTTCTAGGAAAAAGTATGAGTTTCTTGTTTTGTTTTGTTCTGTTTTTTTTAAGTAACGCTCTGAATGGTCTCACAGAACAGAATAGTAATGCAACTGTGTTCAATTTTCAGATTATTCTGATATGCTTCTATATTTTAATTGACACTGGGAAATGCGGAGAAAGGTATTTCTATTAAGTATCTATCAGTATCATCTTCCTGCACTGAATTATCCACGTAAAGCACCACATCATGCAATCTATAAAGCTCACTCGATGATGAAAACCTGTATTAGCTAGTTACTATATAGTTTGTCATGCATGTGTCATTATAAAATTATATTTCTTAGATTGAATGTTTTCCCATACAAAGCTGTCAAATGACAACATAATTTTAAGAACAAACTGTCCATAAGTTGTAAGAAATCTTAAGTTAGACGTTTAGTGTTTAAGATTATAGTTATTCATGGACAATAAGCAATTAAGTATTATGCTGCTTGAGCCTGATGATCTTTGAATCCAATCTTTTGACCTTTATTTTTGTTTGTTTGCTTGCTCCAGGAGTTTCTCACAAATCTACAGCATTCTGTGCAAGCTATGTTAATTTACATAATGAAGAAACATACATACAACGGTTTTTTACTTACTTGCTGCTGCGAAGAAGCAGATTCAGAAGGCAAACTTTGAGATGATCGGCTACGAGGTGGTGGTTGGGGGCGTTCTAGACTTTGTGGGGCACTTGTCTGAGACGGCTGTGATGACACAGGTATCATAGGCTCCTGCATCCTTAGCACAGGAGGTGTCTGAGTGGTGGTAGGCTGAGCAGGTCCAGCAGTCTGAGGCTTGAGTGGTTCAGGAAGCAACGGTGAGCCTGCAAATATATTTGCAGTGGTTTTTATTGTAAAGAATTGTAATAGCAATCCTTAGAATGGCATGAATGAGAACATGTGGCTGTGGAAGAACCAGACAGAACTGCAGAAGAAGGGGCTGCAAGAACAGCAGGTATTCATGGCAACTAGATCAGAAGTTATCAAAAGCTCAGGACTGAAATTTATTACCATACTATTCAAAATTATTACTACAGATACAAAATAGAGAACCAGAAGCCATGTCAGTCTTAAATGTACTTCAGCTGTATTTAAAAGTATTTTGGAAGTCATTATTATAAAATGCGTATTTTGATATTAATACAATTTTTTAAAAAACATTACATTTTTGGAAGTGTCTTTCAGAGTCAAACTTAAACACTATTCCAAATACTAAGATTACAGATCAACCAGTGCAGAGAATGGTCCAGTAATCAACCCACATGACAGCACACACCAGTATGCTCAGACCAAACCACAGCAATGTGATCAAAGTTTCTCGTGATAGCATGAAATCTATGGGTTTAGATCTCATCTGACTGCTGCCTGTTACCTAATGAGGGTTTACAATACTTAGAATCATAGAATGGTTTGGGTTGGAAAGGACCTTAAGATCATCTAGTTCCAACCTCCCTGCCATGGGCAGGGACACCTCACCCTAAACCATGTCACCCAAGACTCTCTTCAACCTGGCCTTGAACACCACCAAGGATGGAGCATTCACAGCTTCCTTGGGCCACCCATTCCAGTGCCTCACCACCCTCACAGTAAAGATATGGATGATTAACAGAAACTGCCAAACTTCTCACTGCATTTGGGAATCTTAATTTATCATGAAGAAAGAAGACATCTGTTGTAAACAAAGCATTCAAACCAGAGACAGTACCTCTTAACTGAATAGTGACCTTCATTTTAACTTCTAAGGTAAACTTACCCCTTGGTGGTTCAGCTGGTTTGGTCTGAGTTTCGGGTGTCAGTCTTCCCCCAGAGGGACGGCCGTGGCTTTGTGGTACACTAATAACTCCAGCTCGAGGTGGAATAGTCTGACATAATAAATGGCAAAAAGAAAGTATATTAGTTCTACTTTGAATCTCTAAATGACTCAGGGTAATTAGGACTCTGTGAAAAATAGATTCTTTGATAACAGTTGCTGAACTAATTTTTTATGCACATATAAAAGCAAAGAATATATTCTCAAAACATTACGAGGGTTAATTCAAAGCAAAGGATTTTTACAACAGTCTTCAACTTTATATAAATACTTACCTGTGTAACAACGTTAGAAACACTTATCATTTTGATAGTATTAATAAGGTAGTTTTACCTAAGTCCATGAATTGTTGTAAGCAATAAAAACAACAGCAGCAACTACTTTATTTGGAGATCATCTAAGGACACATTGATAACCCAGTCAATGCAGACTGTAAACATGATCTACCTTTTCAGCTATCATTATAGCCTGCTATTTGCAAAGAGCAGCTACAATCAATTTTATACAGTGAAAGTCTAAGATACGTATAAAAGACCATGGTTAGTTCTTTCCTCTGAAACTGCAAGGCAGTTACTTCTTTCCCCCAGCAAACAGTACTAATGAAACATACATTCTGCCTCATCTGAAGGCTGGAGTTTTCCCAAACTTGTTGGAATAGAAGTTATTACACTGGGAATGGAATTGCTCTCATAAAACACAATTAAAAAGTCTACATCAGTATTTAAAGAGAAATAGGAACCTCTTCCAGATTACACCTGAAGCTATGTGGATTACAAACACCACACCTGAAAGCTGAATGTAAAGCATTAAAATAAAAATGCTAGAATACAGGAAAAAAATTAAAAACATGAGACAAGACAGTTTGTAAGATTTGTTTCCTCTAAAGTTTTGTGTACTTGATATATTCTAACAAAATCTGAGTAACAGTGCAAGTTCTAGAAATGGTTTTCACAGCACACCCTATTGCACAAGTCTCTACACAAACATGATTTAAAAATAAGCAATGAAACTTCCCCACTAAAAAACAAGTATCATCCTTGATCTTACTTTTACTAGTGTACGTACTCTTCTTCGAAGACATTGTATAATATCTGATACATTATGCTTGGCTCAGTCCATTTAACAACTTTCTACATGCTTTAAACCACCTAACCTCTGAAATGTCTGTTTTCCCTTTAATTGACAAGATGCAATTTGTCATTTCTTTGAATGTTCTGAAAGTAGGCAGAAGGATGCTAGATTAAATACCAAAATGTATATATATTTAAAAAATAAAAACAAAAAGACATTAGAAAGGGACAGGAAAAAAAACAGAAAGGAAGCCCAAAAAATCCTCTGGACCACGAATTGGCCGTGGCTACTGTCCCTGGTCCTGAAATCCTTGAAATGAAATACTGCCCAAAAAACACCACAGAAAAGGAAAGAAGAGGGCATTTTACATTTCTGGGAAAACAAGAAAAAAGTGCAAAGATCAAGAACTGTTCACTGCGAGAATCAGTCTCTGAGCAAAAATTAATCAGCAAAAAGTGATTGCAGTGGTGGCTTTCAACAGTAGTTTTCAGTGGTTTCAATACTGTACAAGAGTACAGGAGAAATGGTAATACCAGTAAGGTGCAATTCTTTCAAGCTCTACAAGATCTATGATATCCCTGCACAGCTCACATTGTTCTTTTGTCTCTTGCTCATTTAGAGTGTGGAAAAGGACATTAATACCTTTGATAAAACAAATTTATATGGATCTAACTTAAACTCTTGCGGTTAGCTGCAACTTTATTTTCACACCTACCTCTGTTTCTCCCCCACCCCGATTAAGAAAGAGACAACTTTTGCTGCTTTTTACATTAAGACCTTTATAAAAATTAATCTTTAAAACAAGGTACAAAATTGCATTACACATCAACTAATCAGCAATATAATACATCAACTGCCTATATGACACATTAACTGCCATCAGAATATACATTTCAGCACAGAAGATAAAATACTTTATCATATGAAATCAGCAATTTAGTCAACAGGAATATATAATACAAAGAATAGCTTTCCACTTTACAGTTATTTGAAAGTGGACATAAAATGAGGTATTATTTGGAAGCCTATGGTGTGACTGCATAGAGTGCAAAACAATAAAGTCATGTTCGTTATATATGTATTCTGGGGTATTTTTAGTCAACAGACAAGAATTGCTGAGGGAATTAACTCACATAAAGTGTAAAAGGACTAGTCAATTTTTCAGTTTTCTTACATCTGTTATGACTTACAAAACCCCACTGCCAGCATAATAAACTGTAGAAACTTAGGAGGAAAATTTTTCAAGACAGAATACCTACCGGTCTGGTTGTACCATATCCAGCAGTTCCTGTGCTTGAAATTCCAGGTGAAGGTGGAGGCTGATTACGAACTGGAACAGATCAGAGATTGCTGACTTAGAACGCTGACTTAGAACATATTTCAAAATCAACTTATTTCTATATTATAATGAGCAGAAAGCATGCGTCTGTATTACCTAAGTTATCTTTTCTTTGCGTTCCAGGACTTTTTTGTGCTTTGAAGCATGGAAAAAAAAATTAGATTTACTTTGTTAGATAAGTGATAAATGCGTATTATACGGCAATGGTACATTATCACTAATGGAGATGGAAGCAAAAATACATTAGTGGTTTCTTTTAAAGTTGTTACATATTTAAGTCCATCCATCATCTAAGCTGTTACTCTAGCACACTCTTCACCTGTGGCACATGTGAAGTAATTTGACCCTTCTAATCACAAATTAAGTCAAATCACCTCTTACGTGTTGCAAGCTAAAGACGCCCACTAGGACAGGTACCCTGTGTTGTCAATTGTGCTAGAAGAAGTTGTTTCCTTTTGTAGTATATTCTGCTAAAAATCTAACAGCAGTCTTTAAAACAAAAAGAACTTATATAACATGCTGATTCAAAAAATCATGCGATCAGAAGAGTACATGTGTAATTATACATGGGTCAGCTACCTACATGGTCTATACCAAAGTTCCTGACTCTCCTCTCTTCATTTCTGGGATAAATATATTACAACACCAACGTAACCATTTACATGCTGCTGTTAACGATGACCTTGTATGCAACATTCAAGTTGTGAAGTGCAAGATACGAAAAGATTACCTTTACCACAGACACGTAAACGATTTCTAACAGGCAAAGAGGTTTAGGGTTCTGGCTTGTGTTTCTGTTGCCTATTTCCCAGGAAGGTAAAATCACCATGTCAGTTACAATAACTGGAAGGAATACTCTGTGGTATATAAGACACTTAGTTTATCAAATCCGCTTCCAGTTGTCAGACAACCCTGCTTTCTTAGAGCTGGTTAGAATGGGTTTCTGGGTATGGTTCTCAGTAAACCAACTTGTACCCTGAGCATCCTGGCACCAATTTACCCTACTTGTAGCAGGAGGTTGAACTAGATAACCACCAGAGGTCCTTTCCAACCTGAACTAGTCCATGCCTATAGCGATTCTGCCAATTTAGAAAAACGAACCAGCAATACAGCCAAAAGTAATTGTAGTATATAGAAGAACATCTTGACTGTCACTATATTAGGACTTTATTGCTATACCTATATTTGCTAAACAGATACATTCCTGAGGGGATAGGAAGAAACTCCAGAACATGACTGCTGGCATGGCTTAAATGGGACGCTATTCAGCACTCTATGCACATACTCCAACTACAGTAATGCAAGAGAAATACTTCTCATAGATGTATGTCACATAGTATAGGTATCAGAATAACTACAGTGTGCTCTTTAGGAAGAGACAAAATATTAACTTATAGCCTAAATTACTCAAATGGAAGTTTCTCTCCCCAAAATATATGAACATATGTAGTTCTTTAATGACAAATCAGGCTTCCTAGATTCCCGATTTTGTTACAAGTATAGTATGTACTATAGCAATCAGTCAGCTACAGCTTCCTCTGAGAGCCAGTCTTGAAAGCATTCTTCTTGCTTACTTCAGTCTAAGTTTTCACTTCATTTTTTCATAAATTAAGCCTGCCTTCTATAACAATTCATACCATCACTGAAAACCTGGCTGTCTGAAAACCATCTTAAATAAAGTAAGAAAGATCCTACACAATAAATATCTTCATGAAACCACCTTTAGTATCAAAAGGGCAATAATATTACTCAAGTATTAAATGAGAAATCTGTTTCCAGAATACAAAAATGTTTATGTTACCTTCTACTTCTCTCCTAGCTACCCCAGGACTGGGAGGAGCTCCAAGACCTTTTCAGAGAAAGAAGAGAAGCTGTATATTGCATAAGAAAAGCAGTAGATTGAGAAAGTAAAAGCAGAAAGAACACCGCCACGAGACAGCTTTACATAATTAAAAAATTGCCTAGCTATATTATAGTTACTTGTAGGAGACAACTGTTTGTAGCAGCATAGGGAAAACAGACTGATACGAATTAGAGATCAGGAAGTACAGCCATGTTTAAAAACATGCTATTATTTCAATTTTATATTACAGTTGAAAGATAATTTCATTTCTTCAGTATTCATTCTCCAAAAACTTTTATAAATTCAGAATTGCATTAAATGTCAGTCTTGAAACTCCGTGAAAGCAGAGCACATACCTATATTCAAACACATGAAAATAAACAGGTACATGAGTTATAACCTGCAACATTAAGTCTGCTTCCTGTATTTTCCTTTATTTTAGGAGAAATTCCCATATTTTAGGAGAACACTATATAGTATGTTTCTGCCAAGACTACATGTGTATAAGCAATTTTATGGAAGAAATGTTTCCCACTTTATATAAATGTATCCTACAGAACTGTACCATGAAGTTATGCCCAAGCAGCACTCTGTACTTGGGAAAGCTGTGTCAACTGGAGCACAGTAGATCTTACAGTTCATACTGAGAGAAAGAAGATTTTCAATCATGCATAACCATGCTGAATTGTTTTGGTTTTGCAGTATGATCAAGCATATACCGGGTCCTTAAAATTGTATGGTAAAAACATGGCAGGACATAGATAACACTAGACAGTATGCAAGGAGAAATCCTTAAGGCATGCACAAAGGAAAAAGTAACAGTAATATCTCGCAACTCTGGAGTGGCTCAAGTATAGCGGAAGGAAAGGGAGCCAGTGTTCAAGAAGCCTACCTTAAAAGCAACTTTTGCCTTAGCGATGACACAGCCTCATGCTTTCTCATCATGTGCCAATGTGTGGTATGTGCTCAGGAGCTCTCTATTATTTTTTTTTCGGGTGGAGGTGTCACTCAGAGTAGGAAGAGTGAAGGCTGCATGAGGCTGGTATGTGATTATCTCCAGGGATGTCGTATCTCTGGTTTTGCTGAGCATCTGGTTCAAAGATGTTAAATACTAGCATATGTTATGTATTCTGGGTGAGTTTCGGGCCCTGCCAATTAACATTAGATTTCCATTGCAAAAGTTTCTGATAGTGAACTTCTCTGCAAGAGAAGCAGCACTGAGGAGGGATGAACAGAGAGCGCTTGTAAGGGGCGGGCACAGGAGGAGAACGCTGCCTGAGAACATTTAATTGCTTTCAGGTTCTAGCTCCCATGCAACCCAGAGGAACCCCAGGGGGCAGAAGAAAGTGGTAACCCATGAGCTATGAGAAGGCTACCTGCTACTGGAGGAAAATAAAGGGAGGTGGAGAGCAGCCCAATAGAGTACAGGACACTCCTCTGAACCCTCTGTGGTTACAGAGACATAAAGCTAACTGTTCATCTCAGAGTATTAATGGAAATGGACACAATAAAACCTCTCCAAGAGCAGGGAACAAGCCTGTTCGTTTCACAGATCTTCTGCACTTTCCCCTCCCAAAGCTCAACTCAGCCCATACTTTGAATAGGTATTTTCAGGATGCTCTTGTTAAGCAGATCTCAGTTTATGCAAGGTGATTAATAAAGTGAACTCCTTTCAGGCAAAAGGCGTCAAGGAACCTCTTTGACCACAGACAAGTCTCTCTGTTGGCGCACCGTATATAGGAAGACTTTCATGCATGAGGATTTTAAAAGGTTTTGCAAATTTATGTTCATTATATGGGAGAGAAAAGACACAAAGGCCAAATATCTCAAATTTCACTTGCTAATAGTATTCTTTAACGGTGATAAAGTAAAATTATGGTGCTGTGATAATGCTATTGTAATTGGCATTATAGGAAGATTTTAATCTTAAGGACAGTGAAAAATGTGTATCTGAACGTGAAACACATTTTTGGGTATCATTTTAAACTGTTACTCTAGTCTATATACGGCTTAAAATCTCCACTGCAGTTTGAAAAAGTATTTTGCAAGTAAAGATATCACATACTTGTTTTAAATAGTATTTTAAGGAAAGGGATTGGATTTCACAGAAACAACCTGTAACTCCTGCCTTGACATCTTTTAGACAGAACACCATGTTTTGCAAAGGTTACATTTACACATTAGCTTTATGGAAAATAAAGCAACCCCAACTTTTCATAAAGTAAAATGTGCATATATGTACACAAGTGTATATTTGTATGTGTATATATATGAAATCTAGGCTATTTGCCTATATTTGAACAATGCATTTACTGTTTAACATTAAGGCTACTTGTTCCCTCCATTACTGAACATTCTTCTTCAGCAAGAAAACAAGGTGCTTTCTCCGTATTTAAAACAAGTAAAAAGAAAAAGAAGGAAGAAAAAGCTTTTTCAAAATGACTGACATATCCTAATGTACCTGAACTCTGCTCTGAAATAAAAGAAAAAAGCTACAGGGGAAAAATAATGATATTGGATGGTTCCTGCAAGGCTAAGTTTAATGACTGACTGCAACTATCAGTGTACACTAATAAGTACTTGCTGTTTGAGTGCATGTATTTTCATAGCTTAAGATACTTGCGTTTCTTTCAATGCCAACTTGATTACTGTATTTTCTAAGTTTATTTATTTGGAGGATAATCACAGTGAAAATGTAGTGCATTTTACCCAAATTATTGCATATACTGAAAATACTGCGCATTCTCTTGATCTTAACCCTATCTTCACCCCGTTTCAACAGTTTAAACCAATGATAAGAGACAATTTTAAGCCTTTCCTGCATTAATCAGGAAAAGTCTGACTAATACTATTAAAGGAAAAAAACACCACAAACCAAATATTATTTTTAACTTCAAGTAACTGAAAACTAGCAGCTTTTGTAATTTTTAATTTTCTGTAAGAATTTACTCTGTAATGTATTGAAAAAAAATCTTGGGTAAACAGAGTGCAACATCTTCTACCCCTGCAACAAGTATCTAGCCTTGGTTCCTTGAATTCTGAGTTACTTCTGATGTAAAACGTAACCAAACCCTACAAAAAACCCTAAACCTTAGATGCCCAAATCCTGCTCCTAGCGTCAAAGCATACTGAGCCATCAGAAGAAATGTTATGGGCATTGAAGGGAGTGCAGCACTCAGAAAAAAAGGTTAAAACACATGAGCAAAAAATCCCCCGTAACATTTAAAATGCGTGACATTTTGAAGACATGATCAGTGTCACTTTGCATGTGCTCCAGAAGTCTAAAAACAAAGTCTGATACACTTACACAGTACACAGGAACATTTTCACAGTGCTTTAAAAGCCTTCAATCTAGGTAAGAGAAACAGATGCCATTTCCCCAAGCGTGGTATCACACTATGACATTTATACTGCTTCCAGTCCTGCGCTAGCTTGCTCTGAGCTGAGCTCAGGTACCACTGAAAAGCAAAGCATTATGTGCACCATGAGTGGAAAATGAGAGGACAGAAAGAGTGGGATGAACTTTAGGTCATCAAAATATTTTTTAAAAGACTGCATAAAAAGCAAGTTTTATGCAAGTTACAGTTCTTTATGGAAAGCTATGTTGGAAAAAGGATGAAAAAAAGCTAGTCTTTGCACAATTGCGACAAACTAGGCAAACAGGATTGTATCAGTGCAGATAAAACTATGTAAGACTGAAGTAGAATGAGGAATTACCTCCCGGTATGTTACACATTACGTATAAAATGGCTAATTTTTAAAACTTAAGCTAAAATTTTAACTAATTTGAGATAAGCCTTTGGCATAATGATCTCCTCCCCTCAACTGCATATAAGAGCCATGCACATCTCTGCCAGAGATCAGATTAAGTTAGGGGAGATTTATATACTATGTAAAATAGTTTTGCTTATTTTCTGAGACTGCTCAAACCTTATGAATTATTTTCTCAAAAACTCCTCTTTCCTAGCAGCTAAGTGGTAGTGTCTGAAAAGCCATTAAGAAAGTATTTCAGAGCCACTCACTATTCTCACTCTATCCCATGCATTAATGAGCTGATTTAAGTCCAAGCAGAACAGCTCTGCTATGAAGTGTGGACAAAGATAAGTTTCAAGAAGAAGCACTTCTGAGAATGTGTAAGTTGTTATTACATGGAAAACCAGACCAAGCTGGAAAAAAAAATAGCCAGAAGGATTGATAAGGTCCTCAGCATTATCAAGAGGGAACGAATTACGGGAGTACAGACCTGTAGCTCTTGGGTGCCTTCAAAGTAACTGAATAAATTCCTTTGCTAAGTTTGTATTTCTGAAGTACAGGCTAGTTCCAAGAACTATGGAGGATGTTTCATATCTCTAGGAAGGGCTTAGGAGCACATATCAGACTTGGGAACAAAAAATAAACTACTCATAAACTGGGCCAGACCAGCAGTAGTTTCAACTTGTACAATTAACTAATGGATAACCATTGTACTACTGTTACTACTTTAACTACTGTTACTACAGTTATTAATGGATAGCCATTGTACGTACTGCAAGTAGCTACAATTACAGTTTTACAGTGTTCCTTGTTGTGGACTTTGAGGATAAAAGCTAGCCTTTTCACAAATAAACACAGGCTTCTGCTTTCACAGAAAAGTTAGCAGGGTATATTTTGAGCAGGACAAAGTAATGAAAAGCTGTGACAACTTTCTCTCTCTGACCTTAATATAGTAACTTCTGGAGAAATATTGTTTCACTAAACAGTCAAATGTAATTCAGAGGGCGATACAAGCCCTGAGAAAGAGATTGCATTGACATTCAAGAATTACCCATTTTTATACCTTTGGACATCATCATATTAAGTATTGGCATAACAGACCACCAGAGTAGTTTTACTATGTAGTCATATTTGAAAACAATTAAAATCATTACCTCCAAATTCTTTTCTAGCAGGTGCAGGACTCCTACCGCCTTACAGTATTTAAGAAATGAATGCAGCAATAATAAAAAATATCAGTACAGTAAGAGGGAAGAAAAAGAATGAGAAAGTTAAAATGATGAGGGTCAGTTAGTTATTAGTTATGTTGCCCATATGCTTCTGGACATCCAGTTTCTCTTAGTGCTCAGTTGTTTACATTTTCAGATGATCCAGATGAACTCTACATTAAAAACTTGGACATGATAAAATGCATACATACTGATGCCCAAACTAAAGGAATGTAATCAATGAATGCACAAGATTATTTGTCTTTTATTTTAAAAACAAAGATGCTATAGAAAAGAAAATGTTGAGTAAACACTGCTGTAGGAAGCCCACACTTTTAAATTATGAAAATCAGTTCATAATTTTTTTTAAACTTACTCATTATGCAAAGATAATAGTATTTAAATGGTACTGGAAAATGCTGTTATTTCCCACACAGTTATTACTATTACATCTACCAACTCAACATTTTGGTGAAAAAATGGTATGTTCCATTGAGCCCCAAACCAAAATGTAATATGTAGTTTGGGATCGGACTTCAAAGTTCACCTCACAGACTTGACACAAAATATTCCTGACCACCTGATGCACATTACCGCATTACCTGATGGTGGAGGTGGCCTCTGTGGTGGAGCGGGGCGTGCAGGAGGAGCAACAGGGCGAGGAGGTGGAGGACGCTTAGGCTCCAGGCTCTGGGAAGACTCCTTCTGCTGGGTGCCAACCTGAAATTCAGCTGAAGAACATGACAGAAGACAATGCAAACATAAATCGCTTGTACATTCTAATCACAGTAAAGCTGTTCTAATAGCAAGTTACTTCTGTAGAGAGAACAGTCAGTCCCCAGCCCTGGAAACAATACAGAAGTTTTTGAGAGAGGGAAAAAAAAGAGGAATAAACCAATGGAGAAAAGAAGCAGGTTCCCTAAGCCAAGATTATTGTCTCATATGCTTTAATCAGTAGATGTTTTTCATGGAATCCTGAACATTCTTAGAAATTGCAGAGTTCCAAATTTTGAATTAAGTGCTCTGGAAAAAAAAATGTTACAAGGGGAATTCCAAAGGCATTTTAGCAGTCTTTGTAAAGGTACTCCAAATTACATTGAAATAAACTGCTTTAGAAGCCGTTCCAAACACTGTAATTCTAAATATCCACTTTGTCACTGAAATAAAGTTGTGTTTAAATAGCAGCTTTCATATTATACAGCCTATTTACAAATCTACATATTACAATTCACGTATTACAGCTGATACGAGCATTAACTGAAATGGGCTGTATTTGAAGAGTATGACTGAAGTGAACTAGGATGATACTGACACACTGCAAATAATTTTTCAGCAGAGGTTTCAAACTAATCAAATTAGAAAGCCTATTAACCACGTAACTTTTTGAGCTGTCTCTTCCATGATGAAATGCTAAAGAACTATAGCAAGTTAGGTAGCTTGCAGCAGTGCAGATCCATGGACTCAGGAAAAAAAGCTCTCCTACTGCTCATTAGGAGAACCAAGACAAAGAATGAGGTAATTCACCCATGGCCATCTATGCATACAATGCTAGATAATGACAAGAATAGCCTTTTATATTAATTTAAAAGCTCTATTAAAAATGACCTATAAGCTAGTAGTCTACCACTGGGACAGACAACTCCCAGATTGTATAGTAGTAACAGAGGCAGTTGAACAATATAATACACACTGTGTGCGGAAACCGGTGGTCCGGGAGTTTTTGCTGGTGCTCGGCTTGGTCTCACTGGGAGCACAGGTCCATCTGACAGCGTAGGGGATTGACAGGGACTGGAACGTGGTGAAGAGCTTGGGGAGGTTCCAAGACCAGAGCTCGAAGTTGGCTGTAGATGCTGAGGAAGGATTTCTTCTACTTCGGCACTGTAGTCATCAATGTCTCCTAATAACATCCCAAAGGAAAAAAACCGTGTAAAGTAAAGGGAACAATAGTTACTTGTTTTATAAAGTGGAGAAATTATAAATTTACTCTAGGCATGGGATTTTCTACAAAACCCCCTCAAGTTCCAAGGAATTAGCTCAACAACCAAAGCATGATTCTTGCATCATGACATTATATATGAAGAATGCATATGTATTCAAACCAGTTGAAAATACTCCAAATGCACAGTATGTATTATAGAAATATATTATGGGTAATTATTATAGAGTGGCAACTGTAGTGCTGCTTAATCAAACAATTAGCTTTACAAAGAAGATCTTTGCAAAAATTATTTCCCTGGTTTGCAATAGGTGGCAAGCTTCACTTATACTTCAGAAAGCTGCGCAGGGGATTTTAACATATCTTCTATTTGTAATACCTTCTGTTTGAAAAGGTGGAATGATGTTTAAAAAAAAGGTTCAACATGGATGTGTGAAAAATAAATTGTCAATTAAGAATATTTTCATGTTGATATTCAAAATGCCTAAAATAGACAATTAGCCCATTGCACTCCAACAAGACCATAGTAATCCTCTCTTCCATAACTTCTTGGCTTCTCTCCCTTCAGGTACATGAACAACACACAATGTTCTACAGAAGTTCCAGCTTCACCTTTGCACTGCTCAGCCGTAACAGAGTAATCAGGCTGCCGATTAGGTAATAGCTCTCGATCTAAGAGTGTTGTGGGATTCAAGATGTCCCATTTTAAGGGAATCATGCTATTTCACATAGGACTATTAATAAAATCAACCAACCATAGAAGCGTCTATGTTTAAGTCCTGTTTTCTACCTGCATTAGAAAACAGATGAAGCATCTTATGACGTTGAGACTATCACAGATTCCAACTTTTCATACAGGTTTCCCATATCCTACCCTTACCAAAACATACCTTCCTTTCTGAAATACCTATACAAAAGAACACCTTTAGTCTACTCTTTCCAGTATACATAGCCACCATCTGTTTTCTTGAAACTTTTGCAACGTGTTTACCCCAAAGGAGCTTGGATAGAAATTCAAAGCAAATGAACTACTCAGAATAAGTCAATATAGACATAATGACTACATCTAGAAAATACATCTGTTCAAGTAATTACAAAAAAACCAACCTTGTAAAATACATATGGAAATGCAGTACACACAGGAAGTGTCAGCAGGTAAGGGAGGTGTGTGTGTGGCTTTGCTGCTGTTCAAAAAACAGCTGCTTTATTTGTCAGTGACATAAGAAGAATATTTTTTAATGTAGAGAAGAGAGTGAATCAGACCTTTCATAAAAATTAATTAATAGATTAAAAAATAAGATGTGACAAAATCCACAGATTAGAAACATGCAAGTAGAGAAAGGCAAAAATGCAGGCACAATTGCTGCAATAGTGACATTCAACAACTTGAGGATTATGCTAAAGAAGTATGACATGAAAAGATATAAAAACCCTCCAGGGAAAAAACAAAACTGAAAAAAAGAGTGAACTGAAACTCATCAATGCCAAAGATCAGCCTGTTCCAAGAGCAACAGAGGTTGAAGGTTTCCTTGCCCGACTCATATTTGCCTGCATGTCAAAGGCTTACCTGTTGTCTTCTTGGGGGTGGTAAATATTCAATGTCCTATTAATCTATTATGTGCATGGGGAAAAAAAAAAAAAAATCGCTTTGCACTCTGAAGTTCTGTATATCCTGCTTATAGGGTGTCTCCAAGAACAGTAAATGTTGCCTGAATGAAGTGACCCTGAGAGGGTAGGTCACAGGATAAAGTGAGAAGAATGAACAGACTGTCAGCAAATTAGTAAAACCTTGAGATAGAGTGCAAACTGATACTGCTCAGTAAGTTGTCAAGATACTACTGGAAATAATGGGATTTCTAATTTATCTGTTTTAGATTGGTATAAACTTGTTTAATGTGTATTTATATATGCATTAAATTAACCACATTATTTAGGACTGTAAACATTTCAAAACATCAAGTGCTTTATTTCAACATACCTTCCATGTCATAGTCAGCAGTAACCTCAGCATCTTCACAAAGCAAAGTGGAGCTTGTTGATGAAGGTAGCCCAATATTAATCTTCTCTAGATTCATTTCATCTTCCAAAGTTCTGATCCAATCTGGATTTTTCAAACTGATGTTTATAATCCTGCCAAGTAGCTGAATTGTCAAAAAGGTATGCACAAAACAGAAATCATTAAGAGCAGGATATTAAACTTCAGCATTCTAGATTTAGAAAAAAAAAATAAATAGTGAAAGTGTCACAAATAAGGTTATCAGAATTTCTGGCACTGAAAAGTGACAGTGACACATCACAAAAGTAATTATACTTTTCACTTAATTTTGGTAAGTAAGTACATTTATGGAGTTTAAACTGTTAATTATAACTATTTAGTATTTTTCTAAAGAAAAACTAACAACTTATCTCATAAGATCTTCCTTTTTAGTTAATAGGAAAACTTCAGGTTTCTTTATTCCGACAGAAACTCTACTCATTGTAATGAAAACCAGACTTGCTTATACACTACATTAATAAAGCTACGTGACTACCAGAAGTAAAACAAAAAAATAAAATTGGATGCAATAGCCTAGTATGGAACATGAAAAACTTCATCCTTAAAAAAAACAAAGAAAAAAACTCAACCCCCACCAAGAAGTCTTAAAAAAAGCTGGATTTTCTCTTGCTATAGAGAAGTTCAGTAATTTTTGCATTACCTCAGTACCATTCAAATTCATAACATTCAAAGCAGAGCTTCCTTCCAAAAATGTTACCCACATCTTGTCTTCCACGAACCTGCAAAGTCCATTGAAAACAATAATTAAAATACTTCATCCTACCTACTAACTTTTGAAGCCTCTTATCTTAAAGGTTTTTCAAATGGCTCACTTCATGGAGAAGAACTATTCTTTTAAGCTCATTAAAATATATATATAATTGGCTAATAAGCTTTAATTGGATGTAACCTAGCAATGACAACCAAAAGAGAGAACCAGGTAAATATCACAGAGTGAAAGCACTGTCCTCTTAAAAATTATGTGACTACAGTTACACATTCAATAGCAATCGTGTGGCTATAGATTAGACATTTGTATTAGTTGTTCCACATGACGTCATACTATGAAGTTGAGACTATGCTCCTAGTCTTCTAAAAAAACCCAACCAACCCAAAAATCCCAACCCACAAAGTCCAATCCTAAACAAAATAACCCCCCTAAACCCCAAACAAAATACCACAACACTTATAGTTCAATGAACAGCTTAGAGAAAATGCAACATTCACAGGAATCCTCTCATCTTCAGTTCATTTAAAATTACTAACCTTATTTTAGAATACAAAATTTGTGTAAAATTACATAAATAACAAATCTTAACTCATACTGATTTCTGACAAAGTCAGTATGATACTCTATCTCAAAAATAAGAGTATCTGGAAAAATTAAGTCTGAAAACTGAGACACATACAGGTATGTACAATTTATTTTTACCTATAAAGACAGTAAAGTTGAAATGTGAATGTTAAAAATTAAGTAGATCGTAACTGAAATGCCCACTAAGAAAGTAACTTTAATCAAGAAGCAGGTGGGAACAATGAAGAGGAATGGAGATTAAGCGTAAAAAGTCTTTTTAACCTTATAAGTATAACTTCACCATAGCTTGCAAATTTTTGAAGAAGTTCATCAATCAAGTTGTCATCAAAATAGTTTTCTTCTGCTGAAGAACTTTTGATGGAGACCATTACAGTACCATCAGGTGGTCCTTGCATTGCAATCACCTCCTTATAAACCTTTTGTCTCTCTTCTGCTTCAATTTCAAATATGTCAATGTCAATCAATGCAACCACAGGCCTTTGAAATACACAAAAAAAATCTGTAAGCAGAGTATCTGAACAACAAAATATATAATATGAATATTAAATTTTCAATTATTAGGAAGTAATGTATAAAATATAACAGAAACCTGTGATCAGATGTTTTCAGCTCTGCTCTTCCATAGTGCAACAAAGTACCAGGATTCCATGTGTAAGGGACGTTACTGTCACTGTGAAAACTAGCATTCAGAAGATCCAGGTCTTCAGCTACAGTCAGTATTAATGAAAACAAAGGTGAAAAACATCATGATTGCAATAATATGCTTTAAAAAATAATTTGTAAATAGAGAAAAAAGAAAGTAAACCAAGTGTTCTACAGATAAAAGCAGAAGTTCCTTTTGAAGTACTGAAATACCAGTAACTGGCACCTGATTCTTGATCCTCTTGATCAGCATCACTGTGTTTACTGCAGATGCTATTATAAGCTTTCTGCCTCATACAAAGTGAGGGACAGAAGTTCAGAATCACTGGCACTGTGAATGTCACTAATTGGATTCTATAAGCCAGTGAAAAGAATATTTTAAACAACTTAAGGAAGCACTCAAACCTGATCGGTCAAAAGGCCATTTTCTTCTTCTCCAAAGAATACGATCTGTCCATGCTGGTGTGCGACATTTTTCACTGGTGTCATAGTCATCAGAAAACAGATCGTATTTGTATGTAGGAGCAAAATTTATTTTCCCTTCCAAAAATCCCCTAAAAATCTGTAAGAAACAAGGCAGTTATGCATCATGCCAGAAGACAGAAACAGATGGGAACTGCTTGAAACTAATGAGAATTCTCTTTTCTAACAGTGAAAACCTGGATACACATTTAAAAAAAAAAAAACAAAAAAACCCTGTAATTTGATAATATGAATCCTTCTTGAATCCTTCTCCAAATTTTATCTGCTGAAAACATCCTACGTTTGCCACTAAGACTAAATAGTGACCCTGACCCAGGACAGATCATCATTAAACAGAAGTATGTCAACATCCATATCTTTAAACCCAGGCTCATGAGCAACCTACTGCTCCTCTAATGTCATTCAGAGCTTGAGGTCATCCAGTACATTGATGCTGCCCACAGCACTTTAATTAGCTGTTTAGTTGCTCATGTGTCAGCAAAAGTTGGGAATTAAGGTTTGTATTTCGTGTACCTATCTAAACATGCAAAGCATTCTTCCAAACTGACACAAGGTGCCCCGCCAATAAATAGGAGGTAAGGGGTGGCAGAGAGAGAGAGTCCTTAATATATTAGATATGAACTGAAATAAGAGAGGGTATCACTATTTTTTCTCAAGTGAATAGGAAAAACCGAATAAAAGGAGATTATTATCTGCCAAGAGTACGTATGGTATTTAGAGATACAGTGTCAATTGAAATGAATCAAAAAATCCGTTAGGTACTTTGCAACATAAACAGACACAGTCAGCTGACACAAGACACTAGAAGGCCAGGAGATTTGCTCCCTCCTTAAGTGTCTAAACTAGACATTAAGCTAAAATCCTTTTGTTTTTTTAACCAGCTCCAGCCTTGAGTTTAAACGTTTATGGGGAGTTTTACTTAACATCAGCAAAATATAAATCTAACTTAAGTCTTACATCAAGTGACAGGTCAGCCTGCTTTTCCTGTTTGAAATATAAATTGAAATCCAGTCAATTTAAAAATCCGTATCAGAAGATCAATGTCAGAATGTCAGAAGGTCCATCACTTCTAGATAATTAATTTCTTTGCCTCTGGTAATTATTTCTTAACCTACTTTTATGAAGAAAGTTGCTATGTAAATGCCTTTTTCCTGAACAGTAGATACACCAAGTAACAGCCACATGCAACAACCATGCAGCTACCCTTGGTAGCCAGCTGATACCTGCTGCTTCCTAGCCAGCCACTTCCAAATAATGGATTATTTCCCGACAGTGCAATACTACCCTCCTTCTTCTGCCCAGTCAGGAGACTATTTTGAGGTTTTTGCATATTTGGGTAGTTTCCATAGATATTTCCAGCTTTATAACTGTTCTAAGCATCCCCAGATCCTCTACATCTCTCTTTTTTTGGTCAAATTAACAAACAATCATGCTGTCTGCCCACTTGAATGTACATCTCATGTAGGAACACGGCTATAAAAAAAGAATCAAAAATTATCAAGTGTTTTTCCTCCTCTTCTGGTGCATAAGACACCAGCATAAACGGAAGAGAACTCTAATTCAGAAAAATCACTGCTTATGATCAAAGTGTTGGCAAATAGACAAAACTAACAACAGAGGCAACATAGGATTATCTGTCATTTTCCCATCTACAGCATTCCCACATAAAGCTGGAAAGAAATAACACACAGTTGCACACAGAATTTAATTAATTACAAATACTCCATTAGTTGCTATGTGCTGCCTCCCAAGAAACCCTAAAAATTAAAAATCGGAAGGTTTCTTCAGACTTTGCTACTCCATTTTTTGGAGTAACAAAGTAGAAAGGTCTACAGTCTGGACTATGCCTTTGTCCATCAGAATGACACAGTACCATCATTAGACCTATTACTGCAGCAATTTAAAATAATTGGTAACATTACCAAAAGAACTTCTAAAGATATGTCTTTTAATAGTTGCACCTGCTTAAAATATATATATAATAAGTAAACTACAACATAAAGTTCTAATAGATGATAGAGTTTCCTTTTTTGGTGTCACTGCCTCTCCAGCTCAGTTACTATGAATAAGTTATTAAATGTCGCTATGCCACACCCTTCCATACCACTACCTGGAAAAAACTGATAAGCAAAACATACCGAGGATATAGATTTACAGAAGCATCACAGAAAATTGCTAAAGCCAAAAAGAAAAAAAAAGCATTTTTAAGTAACATGTTTAAGATACCTGTCCAGAATTTTTCTGATTGATAAGTTGGTCTCCTGCTATAAGGGAATCCCAGTTCTGTTGTCGTATTAGTTCCTTAACCTCCTCATTTGGAATATCAATTCGATAATTGAAGTCACCACACCAAAAGATATAATCATGGGAAAAGAGCATCCTTCCCTGTCAAACAGAGGCACAGAATGAAGTTAAAAACATCCAAGAGATGCAGAAATTCCATTTTTAAATGTAAAATGTAATGCATCATTTCAAGCTGATGAGGACAACTGAAATACACATTAGTATTTAGTGTTCGTATGGTAGAATAACATAGCCAAGTGTATGGTATTCACACATATAGAATATGAAAGAAGAAGTAACATCTCTTATGTAGCTTGCATTTCTAAAGAAACATGAGTCATTTGAATTGGATTCTAAAAATCTTCATCTTTCTACTCCTGTTTTAGAAGTCTGCTCTGAGATGGCAACTGCTACGTATCTCACAAATAGGTTACAAAGGAGAACAGAATACTACCCTGGGATCGTGGCATAATATCTTGACAAACTGCAAATCAAGGGCTTTATTATTCAGATTATTTGAAGACTTTTCAGTTACATACAATTTTCATGG